TAGATTTATCCTTATTATGTGTATAGCTATGTATAACATATCAGGCTGAAATATATAGCTTTGCCATAAATATGTGTAGGCCGGTAGTTGTGGGGATGTCCTCAAATATTTAGCTTTACTATAATTATAAGTATAGCTACAGTATGTATAACTTGTGAGGAAATGTCCTCTAATATATAGCTTCAACATTATTGGTAGTATATGTAGCTATGTATAACATGTGAGGAAATGTCATCTAATGATTGCTTTAACATTATTGGTAGTATAGCTACAGTATAACATGTGAGGACATGTCCTCTAATATATAGCTTTAACATTATTGGTAGTATAGCTATAGTATAACATGTGAGGACATGTCCTCTAATATATAGCTTTAACATTATTGGTAGTATAGCTATAGTATAACATGTGAGGACATGTCCTCTAATATATAACTTTACCATTATTAGTAGTATAGACGAGTAGTATGACAAGTGAGGACATGTATCAGCAATATTCATATCTGAGGACATGTCCTCTGTAGCCGAGCTTAGTAGAGACAAAAAATCATAGTATAAAAGTTTAAAAATTTGTCCTCACTTTGGTAGGAATACCGATATAGTAGTAGTAGTAGTGGTGGTAGTAGTAGTAGTAGTAGTAGTAGAAGTAGTAGTAGTAGTATTACTGTATTATTATTATTATTATTATTATTATTATTATTATTAGTAGTAGTAGTAGTAGTAGTAGTAGTAGTAGTAGTAGTAGTAGTAGTAGTAGTAGTATTAGTAGTAGTAGTATTACTGTATTATATTAGTATTATTATTATTATTATTATTATTATAAAATATAGCTTTTTTTTCATTTTCTAACGAACATTACAAGTTCTCTTTTTGAGTTGAGCAACCGAATGTTGATTGACGTTTGTATACGTGCGTCTGTAAACCCACCCTCGAGCATGAAGAAAAAATCGCCTGCATTCGTGAATTCTGTTTACGCATATGGGGGGAGGTAGGCACTCTTAATGGAGCGACGTTCTAGTTCTCTTTATGCTAACCACGAAGATGTATAGCAAGTGTAACTGATTGGCTTACAGTAAGTTACCATCTAGAGGTGCCATAATCACAAATTTTCTTGCCTCAGCCCCAACCATGGTGGTGCTGAGGTTGTATAGATTCTCAATCTGCTGAAGTACCCAGTGGCGGATTCAAGGGGACCCAGACGGCCCGCCCCCACCCTCCTAAATTGTTCAATAAAAAAATGGAGATATAAAGATAATTATATTCAAATTTTATGTCTGGAAGTGCAATTTCCGGCCATCTAGAGGTGCCATAATCACAAATTTTCTTACTCAGCCCCACCATGGTTGGTAGTATAGTTCTTCTATCTGTGAAAGTACCCTCCCTGGGCCCTTCTATTTCGAATTCCTTGGATCCGCCACTGGAAATTACAACAAATATGAAATCATATTACAGTAGCTTGATGCCTATAAAATAACTTCAAATTTACCAAACATCCGTACCTTCCAGGGGGCTTCTCCCCCTGCACCCCCACCGGGGGCCCTTGGCGGCCCCCTGGCCCCCAGCCTAGATGCTCGCTTCGCTCGCATACTTGACCTTATTAAATGCCCCCCCCCCACTTTCAGAAACGTTCCGACACCCTATAGGTGTCTACAAAACGAAGACCGAAGACACGAAAAACGAAGACCTACAATATTTCTCAATTACCTTATTGAAAGTATTTCAAAATCATCATAAAACAGTTGCCAAGTACATATTTCATTATTTTATCGGAATAAAATGAGGAATATCAAGAAATACGTAAGGGTCTTCGTTTTATAGGCACCCTATACGGGTGTCTACAAAACGAAGACCGAAGATCAGAAAAACGAAGACCCCACATTTTTTCTCTCAATCGTGATGAAAATAATATTTTAATGATTTTAATGATTTTAAATAATAATAATAATAATGTTTTAATTTTTTTAAATAATAATAATAATAATAATAATAATAATAATAATAGTGTTTTAATGATTTTAATGTTTTTAAATAATAATAATAATAATGTTTTAATGATTTTAATGGGTTTTTAAAAAATAATGTTTTAATGTTTAATGATCCACGTAACTCTAGGCCTAGCTAGGCTAGGCAAGCCTACCCTAGGACTAGCTAGGCAGGCCTACTCTAGGCCTAGGCTAGATAGAGGACTATTCTAAGGATTTAGTTGCTCATCACGCAGGCTGAAATCCCCATCATCCTCTCCATTAACTGCTTCAGTGACAAGACGATTGATGGTTGCATAGGCGTACTTGAAGGAATTAAATTTTGCACATCCATTGCTCACGGTTCATGTATTGAATTTCTCAAAAGCGATACTGGCGCGCCCAGTCAAACCATCCATCACATTTTTGTTCAATTCAGCAAACATGAAAGAAGGAATGTGATTGGCCAAAAGTGTGGCCCAGGCGCCAGCTACTCAAAGCGGCGCTTTTATCGAACAAGTTAACGCCGTAATCATTATGACCCTATTGGCGTAATTCTAAGCCTGTAATTGGTTAAAAGTGAATAGCATGACGGCGCTTTCATTATGATTACGACGCTTTTATTATGATAACGGCGCTTTCATTGACCCTGTTGGCGTCATCCTAAACCTGTGATTGGTTGAAAATTAATGGCATTACGGTGCTTTCATTGTGATTACGGCGCTTTCATTATGGCCCTGATGGCTAACAATATACTCAGTTCTCTGAGTATAGAGTACTACAGTGTTACATCACGATACCACGTGATACTAAATCACCCCAGCCCCCGCCCCAGCCCCGGGCTGGGGCGGGGTTGGGGAAAAGTATGATTATGACACTTGATGGCTGGTAATCGTACTCTCATATTTAATTTGAATATAATTTTCTTTTTGTACTTTCGAAAAAAATTATGAGAAGCATGCCGGCTGCTCTTCCTCTTGAATCCGTCACTGGTTAATAAGTGAACTGGTGGGAGTCACTTTACCTTCTAGTCAGGATGCGCGGCATAGCACATATCCGAATATGACGTTTAACGTACGCACACTCAGAGCAATATGGATCGTGATGAAATATCCAGTCCTATTTCTAATTATTTGCTAAGAGAAGCTGCTTAATCAGGACTTAACAGTAAGGGATATTCCTCTCTATTATGTTTTTTTTTTTTATAGACCATAGATTAAAACTACGTTGGTAGTCTAAGTGGCAGATGTAGAAGAAGATTATAATACATTCCCGTTTTGTCAGTTTGCATCGTATGAACCACCGTGTTTTATTCTACAACCCGAATTTATTGTCACTTTCACTAATATATTAGTCCCACTATACGGCACCAAGGTCTTAACTTCAACGCTAAGTTGGCCTATGCCACGTACAAGTATCTTACTTCGGTAGCCTAAAGTGGTAGACTTAACTATATTTTAATTATGTACTTTTAGACATTTGCGAACCCTGAAGACATCATAAACCCAAAGAAAAACAAAATCGGCGTTGGAATTGATGAGGATATCGAAAGAGTTCGAAGGTTATTTTTAATATTGATATTATTATATCATAAGTAGGCCATACCATCATCTGAAGTTCCACAATTAACGTATTTACTAGCAGGGGTGGCGCCAGCAGGGGAGGGGGGAAGGGCCCCCGTCGGGGAGAGCTCACCCCCCCTCCCGTCGGGGAGAAAAAGCACAATTCGTCAGGGAGAAAAACAAATTATATGTCTATATATATTTCTACATATTAGTAGACTCTAAAATCGATTAAAAAAACCTTTGAAACCCCGAAATTGTCAAAATTTTCGGGGGCTTCGCCCCCAGGACCACTTTCGTGACCTTTTAATCGAAGCTCGACCACGCCCACTTTGCTTTCGTCGGGGGAAATCTGACCCCTCGTCGGGGCAGGCCCCCCCCCCCGTCGGGGACCTCGGCCCCCCCCCCTTCGGGAAATCCTGGCGCCACCACTGTTTACTAGGCCTACATTAATTACCCAATTCCGTACCGAATAGCATTTACGCGGTACAGATCTCCCTTTATAGATATTTGAAACCACTCTATGACATTTCTTTATTTTTGTTTGCATTTTATGTTAGTGGCCGGGCATAAACTTCCTCATCAATTCAATTAAAACTAGTCAACTTATATTACCAATAGATCTGTTCCCTAATTAATTAACACACACCTATATCTATCTTTATCTATTTATTTTATGATACATGTAGGCTATTTGCGCCAAAAGACTAAAGTTATGATGACGTAATTATGCTTTCAGATTGTTGAATATGAAGAATAATATAAATACTGTATAAATAATGGTATTATTTAATCAAAAATAATGACATTAATACAAATATTGTTGATGATAATGATGATAATACATTGTTGACTGGTTGTCAGTTGGTATATGTGTACGCTGTTTCAGCCAAAATAATGGTAGTATGAAAGTAATAACGGTACACTAATGCTGAGACGACGACGATGGCACGACAAGAGGCAGCGACGACGACGATGATGGCGGCGAAGACAATGACAGCCGTACGTCGGCAACAACAACAATAATAATAATAATAATAATAATAATAATAATAACAATGGTATAATTATGACAAAGACGATGGTGATGATGATATTGAAAATTAACAATAACAATTAGGCCTATCAATAGACCGAATTAGCGACGAAAGATGACGTCATCACAATTTGGCCGAATGGGTATAAAATTGTAAACAGAGCCTAAAAGTCCTATTCTATAACGTTGCGAGTTTTTATATGGTCCAGGAAAACAAGCAAAAAAACCAAAGTACTTTAGATACTTTTTAAAACATTGGTAGGTTAAGGAAGGTTCCTAGAACTATCAGAAGACGTTTGATTTGATTTTCATTAAAGTTCAATTAAGTTAAATATACGTAGAGTTTTTACAGGCTAGGCCTCGGCCCCTGACACTTGTTGCACGACAACGCGACATGGCTGGATGTGATGATTGAGTGAAGCCTGACTGTAAACGTTCAGCTCCGTGCTGTCTTCAAGTCGTTTACTTGTTTAGACATCCAGTCTGCCAAAGTTATTGGTGTGAATAACTTTAGTCTCTCCTTGAAATCTGCAAGTACAACACATTTCATGAGTTTTGCAACAAGCACATTCATCGACCGGCGCGCGATTTTTTTTCCCGTACGAAACATTTACATGAAACTCCACTCGGGCCGTCTCGGCTGAATCGACCCGAAAATCTCATTGCAGAATTCAGGAGGTCAAAAGGTCATCAACAGATAAACGTCTACAGAACAACTTCTGAGGGAACGTCGCTGTCTAACTTTTAAAAATACATTGATGTTACCGTGTTAATACTAATGGGTCGTTTAAAATGACATATAATATTTGATTAAGCTGCACGAGTAATGAAAAGTGTTATTTTAACTTGAGTTACATATACTATGACAATGTGTATAAGAGACAGATCCTAAACAGGGCTTGAAATTAACTTTTTTTTTTTTGGTAGCACTGCCAAATTTTCTGGCACCCCACAAAAAAAATTTGGTAGCACAAGTAATTTTTTTAGTAGCACATATTTCCCCATCCTTTTCGCATCCGCTAAGATAATAAGCGCTGCGCAATATTTTATTTAATAATAATAATAATAATAATTATTATTATTATTATTATTATTATTATTATTATTATTATTATTATTATTATTATTATTATTATTACCTGTACGTTAAGGGGAACTTAGACAAAGGGGAAATAACAAAAAATATTCCCCTTGGGCTAGTTATTATTTATAGGCCTTCATTTCTAGCCTTAGGCCAAGGTAATTATATGCTGAAATGATTATTATTTATTATAATTATTATTATCTGTTGTTGTTGTAGATAATATACTAACATTTAATAACATCCAAGAAGGTCACAGTTAGTTACACAG